CAACAAAAGTGTCTAGTTCATTTCCAATAGAAATGATATGAACCAATATAAGCAAGACCGGATATGCTCCCTCTAGCGTCTGCTGAGATTGTGTACGCTAATTGGAATAAGCAATGCAACTGTGTCATAAATGTGTCACACAAGCGCATACACACACACAAGGTGTGCGAAACCTAAAATGACTATAGTCAGTAAATTTTAAATAGCGTAGATGGATGCAAATACGATAGAGGGCACTAACCGATGTAAGGCCCTAAGCAACTTAGTTCCTTACTCTCTTTCTCATTTAGGTTCTTCAAAAAATCTTTAGACCTCTAAATAATCTTACCTTACAATCACAATAGTAATAAAAATATTACAAAGGAAAATATTTATATATCTATGACTTAATAGGCAGAAAGAATGTAATGGCGTCGTCCTATCGGTCAGTTCACCATGAATTGAATGAAAAACTGAAAGTAGAATGCTTATGAACATCATCATGTCATTGATGAACTAAGTATAATTTATCAAACCATGATTATCCATGTTCAGGGTACTGAGCTCGTCCATAAGGAGACAGTAATGGCATAATCTACATATCCCTTCCCCAAACAAAATCTTTTACTTATGACGCCTTCACAGTATAATGTATTCTACTATTATAAAGACATTAAGAATATCTTTCAATGCTACTTCCAATGACTAAGTGAACATCAACAATCCGACCTAGTCTTGAGCCCCATTTGCACAAGTTAATCAATCAGCCGATAATCTGACGTCCCCACGCATCCCTGTGGAATTATTACTTTTTGCCTCTTATCAATTTCCGAATACAGTGCATAGTGCAGTCATGTGCGATTTGAGTTTCGATTAAAGCTAAGTGACGACCACATCGTAAACTTAAAAGATTACGTCCAGATAAATGCAGAAATATTTGAAAATTACTGGCCATTTTGATATTAGTTAATGTAGTACAACTGTGCATTCTGATTAGTCACCCCTCGTTGTGTAATTTGGTTAAATTAACTATCAATAAACTATTATACCATATTGCTGTCGAATATCCCACGTTAGTAGAACGTAAATGTTGCAGTAAAAACAAAGAAGAAGCAGCAAGGAATTAATTACCCAAAAAGATCGATTTATGTTTAAGTTCGTTAGATGAACAAGTACCAGATACAAAGACCATTCGTATTTCGTCACTGTCCTGATCAGAAACCGTTTCCAAGCTCTGTTACACAATCACGAAAGAGAATAAAGTCCCAAGATTGTCGACTAACCAGCCAAACGATCAGGCTTACAATCTCGACTTCATAAAACCGTAGCAGATTGCTACTTTATTAAAGCCTGACCGACTCAGAAATCTCTATGGTAGTTTCTCCAACATCTAGCTAGACACCAAGAACAAGCTAAGATATAGCCCAGCTATAAGGGAAACAGACGTGTAGCACGGAATACGTTTATTCGGTACGTACATTGATAGCGAAGTGTAATGTTGGCAAAGCGATTAGTTATCAGATAACTCTAGCATAATTCGTTTGAACTTTAATAACTAAATATTTCTGAGTAATATTCTATAGCAGGATTTCTATTTGGTCATTTAAGGAGTGTCCCACAATACGGTCCTAAACCAATGATAAGAGGAAAATGACTTTTTCTAATGACCCCATAAAAGCAACTTGAAAAAAACGACCTTTCTGAAGTGACTGGTACCATAAGCATATTGAATAAAAAAAGGAAAAAAATATCAGGGGGAAATAATTAAGAGCAAGATCGCTGACAGATACATTCTTAACAATGGGTTAGCCAGCGAAATCAGATTTATCAATGCTAATGTCCTTAAATGTGCACTCCCCATAAGGGTAGTGGCTAATAAATAGGGTGGAAGAAACCAGGTAGTTAATCAGCAAAGCTCATACCGCTAAACCGATACTCAAAATGACTGCCGTTGTAAGTGCTCGAAAACGATTTCGGAGTTAGATTTATTTTGTTAAAGGCAAAATTATGAAAAAGACTTACAATAAAATTGAAATTAAACAATAACTATATGCGACGAAAATGGTCATTAAGTTTATGAAAAAGAACAGTTGTCAAGAGACGCAACCTTGAAAATATTCAAACCAGTTGTATAGGCTTTAAAATTTGCCGAATGTATTCAGCAGCAGCGGAATTTTAGGAAAATATATTTAACTTTGGCTATAAACGCAAAATAATCAACTCGATATGTAAGTCAAACATCAACAATCTACAGTTTGAAGATAGAATCCCGGGCATAAATTCTGTATCCGGGAGTTTGAAGAAGGTTCACAGTTGTTGCAATATCATTTTGAATTTCCTCAATAAGTTTTTCTAATTAAGAGAGATAATATTTCATTAAGAAAATGTTATAGGCAAAAAATACCTCCCATGGAAGTGCTTACCGACGCTTTCAAAGTCCCTCTCAGGCCTGATATAGGAGAGAACAACTATTGAAAGCCGTTCATCATAAAAATCCTTCTCAAATGTGTTTAGAATATGAACCTCCTAAAGGCACCAGATGCATGCAAAGAATAAATAATATAATTTCAAGAATTTATCAATACCATATTAGCATTAACTCACCAGAGATTTCTTTTCATTTTTGTAAAAGGGATTCCAGCCCAGACTCATTACCATAGGGTAAACAGGTCCGTCGTTTACTTGAGCGAATCCTGCATAAACACCCGACACCATTGACTTCGGTAGGTTTTCAAGCACAGTATCATCCAGATTTGCTAGACATTCATAATGAACAAAACCACTAGAAACCCACCAGTAGGTATTCCCAACTCCTTACTTCCTCTACCAAAGCCGTGAACAACTTTCCCAGTAGCTTTAAAGATACACTCCACCATAACCAATATGCGCGAGCCTACCAAAATTAGCGCCAAAATATGCTAAACCTAATTACGTTAAGTAAACTAAAACCAGGCTGGTTTTGAAGCTACGCGGACCAATAGGAGGGCTGTGATATCCTAAACCCAGTCACCCATTATAGTTAATTGAAAAGAATAATTATGTTGTTGGACACTGATGAAATGGCTATAAATAGATCCAGTCCCCCCACTGAATGTCGTCTTACTACACGTGTTGTTGAACATCAATGTCTTCTCCTTCCCCATTTCTCGTTCCTAATCTACGGTCTTACAACGAAAGGTCATACAACCAATTAACATTCTATGTGACTTAACCATAAATAGACCTTTTGTCCAAGATCAAACTATCGAAGCGGTTGAGCCAGAACGTAATGTAGCTTCATGAAAAGTAAGCAAATTAACAAAGCGACTAATCTAAATGAAATATTGTTGACTATTCCATATAGTCACAATTGAAAAAATAAAAGAATTTTATAAGGAGGCTCAAGGACAGGTAGATTTTTCATAGATAATATCTCATCGCCATTTTGTGAAGCGCAGTTATGGAGAAGCCATAAATTTCTTTCATACACTTGAATCACATCTATTAGCCTAATTGGGATACAGATTTAATCTAAGAATTTTAATTTAAAAGCGGAGGATGAAATTCTTCACTATCGAAGTAATATCTTTGGACATACAAAGTGCAAACATTCAAGTCCTCAAATTGGTAAATAACTCAATCATTGTCTTACATTAGACTTAAATTCGGCAACCCGAATCTCATGTAAATACCTCTCGCTGAAACTTTGGGTAGAGACAATATTATCTATTCTTTTGGGTGTTTTTTACTCCAATTTCCAATTTTTATACATCCTAATTCGTCTTCCTTATATATTCAAGTCTGTAATTTATTTACATAACATTTGCCTTTTTACTTGGATTGGGTTAATAAGGAACACTCGTGATTTGATCTACAAATACTAAGCCATTCATTTCCATAATGTCCAAACATTTACCATTCGGAATATTATTATTGCTATTTCAAATGGCAGGGGTTAGGATATTTATACTTAGGCCTGCATTCAAAATACAGGTAAGTTTATTTTTGTGCGCCTTATGAAAATTCTATCGATAATTGCGTTCAACTAACAAGTTTTAAAAAAGTATGAATGAAGTATTGAATAAGAAAGAAATATTTCCCATTTTGGTAAGGTTTCGCTTCGGAAGAACCTCTGAAGGCTGTCTTAAACGCTGTACTTTACTGGAAAACGCAAAGCGGAATCGACTTTCGTTCATCCTTCCACTCCACTTTTGATAGACCCTAAAAAACGTATATCATAATATACAAATTCTCAGAACAGCACACTTTGATTGGCTCAGTTCTTATTGATTTTCCGTTTCGACTATGCTTATCACAGCCGCAAACCCTACATTCTGATACTGTCATGATTTTAGTTAGAAATTAGCAGGATGTTACTTGTAAAATGACAATTGTCAAAGGAATTGATTCCTAATCACCAGAGTCCTCTAAGACCCTTTAGAAATACATGCATGCCAAAAGATAAGAGTGGGTTTTCAAACACCTTCGTTCAATTTTATTTAAATACACGTCCCTATTCAGTCCTGTGCTATGGAGCTGATCCTTCTAAGCTCTTAACAATCGGGATAAAAATTGACAGAAAAAAAGTAATAACGATTATTAATATAAATATATATTAACAACGGATAGTTTTGCAGTGCATATATATTACATAAGCATAGTTGACTCTTCACAGGAGCTAGCAACTCGTACACCGTTGGCAAGCAAGAGAAGGCGGGCCAAAGCAAGGGGAATAGGAAGACGACAGTTCATAAAATCAGCAACAACTTCATCCACCAACGTCGTCTCCATGATTGTGATCGTGTCACCCGTTCGCTAATTTATCAAAACAAACGTTGAGATTAACTTAGGGGCAAATACATGGGCGTAATGCGAGCAAATAACGATTCATACGCCTGAGTGTCTAGTTTCAATTTGTGATCGAGTGCTCAACAACGAAAAACAATACAAATTCTTTATTTTACCTCAATAATCACTCCTTATTGCATTCCGGACTCTACTCAATGCCGATGCCATTCCCATTACATTTTTCAATATAATACACTGCATTCTAACTTCCTCCCTTATTTCAATACACCCACTTCTAATTCAACTGCTAGTTTTCTGGTTTTTGGCTAGATTGTTGAAACCTGTTAGCCTTTAGTAAGGAAATAAGTTCAGAAAGAGGATTGTTCTAAGTCTAACGCGGTCAGGCTTTTAAAGTAACTTTATTAAAGGAAACGTTACTAAGTTAAGCATACAATTAAATATATAGCATTATTTCATGGTAATACGGGGTATGCGATAGACTTACCTCAACGTGGTGCACCATGTGTAACGTATACTCTTACGGCAAGTCTATTAATCGGCAGTTGACTTCTGACTTCTAACTACCATGACCCCACCATACGTCATGTTTGACCACTTCCGCAGTACTCATTTTACCTTTTCTCTGCCTTTGTGTCTGTCTGTCTATCTCTTTTACCTCTGTGAATCACTCTTCCCTTCCTTCTCTCGAATTTTTCTCACATTGATGTTCCTCTCCTCAGTGAAGCCCGAAGTCAGCTAAAGGGCTAATGATAACTATAAAAACGCCTGCCATTTGAAACTAATGAATAAATTTCATGGTAATACTTAGCGAAAGAACAGGTCTAGATAAAATTCTTATCAGAACAGGAACAGAACGTTAGCATTACTATTCCTATTGACTTAAATAAAGAAATGAAGCCTTTTGGAACAATTGCACTTTTGCCTTATCTCAAAATCTTTGATTTTGAATTACCTTAAATTTGATGAATTCCGTGGCCTTTGAGGATTTCATATACGTGTCAGCACCAAAGGGCGCATGAAGTGGAACGACCTTGTAGATACCCGACTGACGAATATGCAAACCGAAACCGAATAGGAGAGCGCACGCTTCGCGGAACTCCGAACTCAATTCTCCGAAGCGCTCCATCAACTTCTTGTGACGACGGTCTTCAGCCTGGCGTTCGACTTGGAGTCCTAAATGATAAACGCGAAATAATGTAAATGTAAATGAAAGTGAAGTGATGTAGGGGTGAAATTAATTTACTTGAATTGAAAAGCGGATGACCATCGTCCTGTCAAAGCGAATAAATCACCGTAACTTAGTTAAACCTGCATTACTTCCACTACTAAATGAGAGTCACAGTTTATGACTTAACAGAGACGAAAGCCTTTTTTCTCCGTCAATTACTATTTTAAAAATTTTGACATCGTACCTCCTCCCCCCCCCCCCCCCCCCCCCCCTCCTATTCGATGAAGATAGAATTCGTTAAGAAGTACATATTCGTGAAATCTCACGATACCATCTGAGGAAAAGCTTTAACTTCAAAATATGTTCCCTCGTAATAAAGCCTTAACACCAAAACCCAAAGTAAATACGTACTTCGAAGTTCTGAAATGGGATCCGGATGATCTTTAAGGCTCTCAGCCACTGCCATGGTAACATTTCCAGGAGCAAGGGCAGAATCTGGAATACTCGAATCTCCTTGACCTCTAAGTTCATAGAGGCGATCCAAACGATCCTTGAGAATCTGAAATGAACAAAAATAGGCAATAACTGCAACCCATAAACAAACCTCCATTATTTAATACTAATTTACACTTCGAATAAGCAACTAAGATGAGACCTACGTTATAGAAACATTTTATGAGCGAACTTTTCTACTAAGAACCCTTCATATTGCCATTAAGGCCACTTGTTAACAATATTTATAATTAATACTTTAGTAACAAGACTAATAAAATCACAATTTCATATGGACACGAACCTCAATGAGGTTTGGGGTCTGATGGTCACATCAAGCGGCTATAAATAAAGACGGTAGAAGAGGAATCAAGGTAGTAGGACTTAACACATGATTTTACTTTTTATTAACAAACTCCGAAGATAGCGGACAAGAAATATGATGCCAGTTAGGCAATTAAATTTGCAGTTGACAGAATACATAGAGATTCAAAAAACACCTAAAGCCAAGGACTGCCCGCGTTCTGGAGTTTAGAAATCTATGTTCACTTTCTATCACGGGACAAAAGAAATACGTCATCTTAAACTATTTCGTCCCAACTCTTCATTTAAGTGTTCCACTGTTTCAAACATACAAACACTTCTCTTGGTGAAAGGCTGAGACCGCAAACAGTGGTTGAAAATGACACAAAGCGTGAGACAAAAGTGCAGTAATTGGAACTACTGTTCGATAATTGAGAAATCGAAAAAGCTAACGCTAGTTCTCACAAGTGAATTAACAAAGTAAAAATGTACCAACGCATGACTAGTTGTCTTATAAACCGTGGTCCGTTAGGCGCCAACAAAAGGTAAAATTTAGCATTTCGATTACAATCAACAAATTAACAAACCACTCACTTGGACAACGATGTTGCAACTTTGAGAGAGCAACAGATTCAGAAAATGCCTATTCATTTCCAGAAGCAGTTTCCTATTAGACTAACTAATTATTTAAAGTGAAGGGGTTTTAGAGCCAAATAGTTAAGAGAAGCAGAAACATTTTTCACCTCCAATATATTATTGACAACTCCTTAAATTCTATTTTAAATAAGGAAAAATTGTTAGAGGTCAAAGTAGACTGGAAATATACTTCAATGAACACGCGTAACTCGCGGTTTGAGTTATTGATTTCCACTGCGTTTTGGTAACGCATTTTTATGCAATGAATGCGGATAAGGTTTCTGTTGTCGAACTTTTATTCGCGTATGGAATCAAGAATAGTTACAACTTACTCTTAGGAGAGTCGGATGTTGAGCAGGTATTTTGCCTTTCAAAAAGGAAACTAACATAAAGGACCACAGCCAGTTAATGAAAAGCCAAGGGACTTAATGGGGCCCCTCCATTTTGTATTAGCGACGCAATCTGTTACAGTCTCTTATCTTCTGCAGATATCATGGACCATCGGACTACCAAGGGATCGATTTCGTACCTCATTAGCTGCATTAATAGACTCAGATCTCCTGATTTTATCACATATACTTCAGATAACCACCATTTATACCCAGGATTGCTCTCAATAGACATACAATTAAAAACCTCAACATCCAAATTCACCTTTTTGTGTGCCTATAGTCCTATGGACTTACCCCGAACAAGTTACAATCTTATTCCGGTCTCACATTACTTACCAATCTCGCCCTAGAGGTTTCAGACCTACAACTTTTGACAAACCGCCTGAAATAATTTCACTACTCAAGCTTTGTGGAATACCCTATGGACTCGGTCGCATTAAATGCTCTCCATAGACTTCATTGCTTCCACATCCACCCAGTTGCCATTCTTGGGGCAATACTTCTCGATCAAAGAAAGTAAAGGCATTACCATTCTCCATTCCCATCAAATTCTTCTTTTCCGAATCGTCCTGTCAATTTCCGTGAGGTTGTTAGCAACTTCATTTCTCAATTAATGACAGCTGTTTTCTTTAAATGTGTTGCTGTTGTACTTCTATACAGATCTCCTCTTCTAGCCTACTTTAGCACCTCTACTAATAAGAGCACAATTCTCACCTACAACCAACAAATGTGTAACAGCATTTTACTCTATGAAGGCATTCATATAGACATCAAACTACTCTCGGAAGGCTGTCCATCAGAAACTTCACTTAAAGAACCTGATCCTACTCACCTCGGTGGCAACACGAGTTCACCCACCAGAACAGTTTAATGGGGTTAACAAAATACACCCCCCCCCCCCCCCACATTCAAACCTATGGTCCAAATTATGCATTGAACAACAAAAGAGCGAGTAATTTGCATCTATTTAACTTTATAATCACTCCAAATTGTTGCGATGTGCAATGTTTCGTATAAAAACAAACTACTCTGACTGGTTCAACTCGTAGACAGTAGGCGGATCAAGCAAAAAAGAAATTCCCCAGGACAATGGAAAAATCATTGAGATTTAAACTTTTAGAATGTGGGGGATAGAAGCACTCATTAATTTTACAGTGGCAAACGATGATATGCTGAATCAACTCCCAACTTCTACTCGGTTCCCAATCAAATCCTACTGCACTATCTAACTTTTAACGTGTTATATTTATATGCTTACTTATGAATGAATAAGACGAAAAATAGTTGATTTAACCTCCAATGTCATCTCTAGTAAATTGATTCGAAGCCAAGAACAGAATAGGAAAATTACTGGAGTTGTCAGTGTCCTTACCTTAGCACGCTGAAGTAGATTAGCATTTTCCTTCCGTAAAGTAATGAGTTCATCTTCTCTTCGAGCTCTGGCTTGTTCTGCAGGATTGGAAATGATATGAAGCACCTGCGTCTCATCGGGGTTATAAGCACCCTATTCAAGATTAAAAATCTAGTAATAATGGGCACAGACTACTTAAGTGATTTAAATAGAATGAACGAACCTGAGCTCGCATTATGGCAATTTCCTGTTCTGCCAACTGCTTTGTGGTTTCGACCTTTTCCAGACGCTCCTCCAATTCCCGAATAGTCTCTCTATAAAGAAAAAAAAGAAATAATGAAATGGCGAAAATCTAATAGAAGTGTATATATTGAGGAGGGAGTCATAAAAATACTTTCACACTATACTCCAATGTACTTTTTGACAAACAAATTTCACCCAGCTCTTATTTCAATACACGAATCATCCCCTTGAAGCAGGACTTTTAACAAAAACTACATAGCACATCGAACTCTGTATGAGTTAGGGAAGCTTGCTTTGATGTATAGCAAATAATTAAGTTAAAGAGGGGAGAAGAAATCAAGTATACGAATATGTAGTCAGCGTTGCACTTGTCTTGCAACTTTTGGATGGAAACTTATAGCCGTTGAGCAGTGTGAGAAGTAAAGAATAAAGTAAATAGCAGGGAAATCGAGTTGATAAAAGAAGAGAGTCGAGTGACTAGACACAAAAATACGATGTTTTGCTAACCAACATGACACAGAGAAGTGGAAATTTGTTCAAGTTATTCCCATCAGTAGGATAAATCAAAGGTGGTGACAAAAAACTTTCTTAAAATCACATCACAACATCCAATATTCAAAATCAATGCCAACAAGGAATGTAAAACAAGAAAAAAGCAGCATGGAAAAAAGATGTGGAAAGCATAGAGGCAAAAATAAATAAACTAGCCTTAATTGCTCAGCTGATCGTCGATCGTTTGCCGAAAGAACCAAGTCCGCAGAAGAAACGTCAGCCTAAAATAGCATAACGAAAGCTGCTTATGGGAAAATACAATGTCAGCATCTACTAAGATAATACCAAGATGGAAGAGAACGCGGAAATTAAGTTGACGATAAAACATTTACTCTTTTAGTTTTATATTGGTTAGCTTTCCTGAACCTTGAAATCCCCATTACCTTCCTCTATTTCATAATCACTCTATTGCACAACCTCTTCCAGAGATTTCTACACACACAAAGTTGCTAAACGTACCATTCGAATTTTGCCACTCCTATGTAGTTGACTAGGTCCGAAGTTTCATTTGACTATGCCGTCACAGCTTGGTTTTAAAGGCACCAATTACTATTGATATATATTGATGTTCTTGAGTAATTTTGCAGATCAATATTTGCTTACGTTTTCCAAATGCACCGTGCTGTTTAAGCAAACTACGCTTTCTCTCCAGGTTTAAACCCTTCCTCACTTACATACGTGACAACTACGAGAATGAATGAAGATCGAAACCTACCGGAATCATGGGGGAGGATGACCCGTATCAGGATGATTCGCACTGGCCCTAATAATAAGATTATGGTCACTGATCCATGCTTTTGGTGTGGGGGCCAAACAGATGCAATTAGCAGAGAGCAACAGGACAGACGATATGAACTTATCGTGCTCATACGGCGCACTTTCCCAAGAATCTGCTCCAGAAAGTGTTGAAACACACTTAGAAATTCGGGATCGTTTTCAAACTATCAAATACATCAGCCTCATCCACGAAGAATGCACCAAATGCCGAACTCATCATCACTCACACGTGTCTCAGAAAGGTCTATTTCCCACAGGAAGGGCTCTCCAAACTGACCTGGCTAGGACAAAGTTTATTTTATTATTTATTTATATCAAATGGCAGGCGTTTTGATAATTATCATTAGCCCTTTAGCTGACTTCGGGCTTCACAGAGGGGAGGAACATCAAAGTGGGTATACGTTGACCAGAGTGCACCACGTGGAGGTAAGTCTATCGCATACCCCGACTAGAGAAAAGTGAAACGTCCTGCTGAAGCACAACCGGATTCTTCAAATAAGATATTTTTGGCGAAGTAAAGAGTTGGCTTGGATTGGCTTATATACAGTCTAAAGAACACTTCTCGGCACCTGTTAACTAAGCTTGCCCAAACTAACGTAATTTTCGGGTGTATGGCCCCATTTTCTGTGAAGGTTATATGAAGTGATGCCAAATTTCACACGTTTCAAGAAGAGCTTGTGTTCAATTCAGATGCAACTTGAAAGTGTTGACAACTACAGCAGTTAAGCTACGAATAATGAACAAGAGTAGCCAGTAAAAGGCTAGGATTCGCGACTCCCCATTGCCAAAACTCGAAGAAGCTGGAAATTATTTTCGGGTTATTTATACGCCTATACCAGTAGCGATTTATATTCACACACCAGATTTGAAGTCAATGGAATATTTCATATGTATTGGGTGCTGTGGGGAAAGACACCAATCAATTCTTCCTGGAACCCTATACCGTTTTATACCTTATCGGATTCTTTTGTTTACTCGTAATTAAAAGCATTAAAAAATTAGTATTGCATTATCATGGGCACTTTAAAGAAAACTTCAAGTATATAAAAAAGTAACATACGACAGAATGAGCATTTATACCCACTGCAGCAGACTCCACTTCTCTGACCAGACGCTCAAGTTCGTTATCGTCGGATTCAACTTTTGCGTAGAATTCATTTAAGGAGCTGGCCACTTCATCAACCATCTGTTGAAATACATGTAGCATTTCACCGGCGGGTGATGAGAGGGTAGCATCTGCGTCGGCATAACTATCGACAAACTGTTTGTACATATTCCGTTCATTTTGCAGAATTTTTAAACGCAGATTCTGTCGCCTAGAGCGACTTTGCATACACTCAACAGCAGCTTTGGATTTGGTCTCTTCTTCTGTAAGAGCTGCAATCTTCAATTTGGCGCGTTTTAATTCCACTGCAGTGGCAGATAGCCTATAAAACATGTTTTAGAAAGAGAAGTTTCAATCAACATACTCGCTTCGAAGATTTCCTATCTCTGAAAGAATAAGGGCATTTTCACGTTGGCACTGAGCAAGTTTGAGCTGCGCATCTGCCAGGGATTCATTAAAAGCTGAAGCAGTTTGGTTTGCCAATTTCTCTTCAGCTAACAGAGCACGATCTTGCCACTCATTGGCTCGAGCCAAAGTAGCCTTTAAATCTTCCAATTCAGTACGAGCTATAACTAATTGAGCCTTAGATTGAAGCAATTTTGCATTCTCAGATTCTAAATGTGCAACCTTTTGCTCCAGTCGTGTGGAATAAAGTATAGAGGAAGATCGAAGGCATAATCCGGAACCGTCTGGTCGACTTAAGAGACTAGAAGCATTACCAGGACCATGCAAGGCTTGTTCAAGTTGGTCTTTTAGATGCAGATTCTCCGATTCTAATTCCTAACTCATGTGAAAAGGCGTTTGAAAAACATACATTAACTTTTGACTTCCAATTCTCCGCCTCTTTTAAAGCGACGACATCTTCATCACGCAGACTTTGAAGAATACTCAGTTTTCTACCAAGGAATTAACTTTCTACAAAAGGCTCACTTCTCGGTTAATTCAATTTGAGACGTCAGCGTTTGCTTTTCGATCAATAAATCAAGTTTTTCCTGCCGTTCGTTAGCAAGTTCAATCTTTAAATCCCCAAGCTGGGCATGTAGCTCATCGACTTTCTTAAAAAAACATTAAAAATTAAAAAACCAAGTTACTTCACTTAAGATTTCATCTTGTTTGAATTTATGAAGAATAGTTTCAATTCTCTCACTAGCGTCTAGTTCCACTTGCTGTAATTTGAGCTTCAAAGCATCATTATTTTCAGTCGATTCCGATAACCGGCGCTCAAGTGTTTTAATTTGTGCCATCAAATCGGATTTTTCAGACTCTAAACACCGCACCTCTAGTCTTGCTCGCTTTAAATCTCTTTCTGAAGTAATTTGAGCTTCCTTGAGAGCAGCTTCAACGGAATGCTTCTCAGCAGTCACAATGCTGAGATTGGCTGCATCATTAATTTCTGAAAGACGTCTCTTTTGCGAATGAACAAGCATCAATGAATTGCAGTCAGAAATCGAAGATATTGAAATGGCACTACTGAGATCGACAGACTGACGATCATCCCCCATCTTCAAAGAGTTCTGAATCAAACAATTTACAAAATCACACACGACCTTGCATAAAAGGCCAATTAATTTTAAACATCAAATAAAATATACAAATTGCCTTATTTTAGAAAATCAGATATTTATTATGTGGTCATTATGTGCTGTCAAAAACGTTTATTTTTAAGATTTGTCTCATTTATTTACTTCAATTTAATTTATCAACTAGCATAGTAACTGTCGTACAAGATATTATGGCATTTTATTCATCTTCATCTTACCCACGATGACATCGTAGAACTATTATGCACTGTTTTTTTCTTTAGCATTTGGGCATGTAACTGATGAACTGGTCTCAATCAGTATTGTGTGAATTATGATTGTGGATATTGTTATTAATCCATTCCCACTTTAATTCATGAAGTAGAATTGAGAAAGTTTATTTATTTCAAATGGCAGGCTTTATTATATTTATCATTAGCCCTTAATCTTTGACTTCAGCTTCCCCCAAGAAGGGGGGGGGGGTACATTTATAGCAGTCAATTAATGGCAATTCATTAGCTGTCTTCTTGCTTCCCAGTATCTTTGGCTTTCCGTACATGTCTGTAGGGCTGGACACCGAATCAGGGGGGTCTTCTCCGTTTCCTCATGTAGGTTACATAGAGGGCATGTGGGTTGAGTGTATACTCCCAATCTGTGAAGGTATTTTGCCAAGCAATCGTGTCCGGTACGTAGTCTAAACTCAGCAACGGCTTCGCTTCTTGGCCAGTCGGGTATGTCGGAGAGTGCCACTGTCCACTGTTTCTTCTTTGTTCGAGCTTTAAGTTCGTTGCACCTTGAGGTCTGGAATTCTCTCCCGATTATGGCCTTCATTGTGTGGAAAGACATCGGCCGGTCCATGCATTGCAAAATCGTTGTCCCCTTCTTAGCAAGTGTGTCAACTACATCAATGTCTGCTAATGGGTTCATGGGGGGAGAGAGGCTTTTTGGTTTGTAATAGATTTGTAATTCTTTCTTCAGTTCTATGGCTTTCTATATTAGACCAGATTGCGTTTTCAGATGTCCTGGTCTATTCTCATAGGTGCTGAAGAACTTATCCATGGAAATGCGCAGTAGCTTCTCATACAGGATCAAGGCCTTTTCTTTGATAAGGGAACATATTGTGGTGCTTCCTGTAACTAGGAGCATTGCATCAATGGGTGTTGATATTTTTCCTACCAGTAATTAGTCGTAATGCTTGGTTGTGTGCCTTCTCGAGTGGTTTGAGAGTCACCTCTGTGGCTGTAATGAGTGGCTCACAGCAATACAACATTATTGGCTGAATAAACATCTTGTAAGTGGTGTTGAGAGTTGAGCGTGCACAGCCCCATACGCTACCAGCAAGACGCTTCAGTACATTCAGTCTAATGGAGACTCGTTCTGCTATTTTAGCAATGTGACTTTTCCACGTTAGCTTGGTGTCAAACGTCATTCCGAGATATGTGAACTCATTGGTTTTTTCTATGGTAGTATCCTTGTACTTAAGAAGCGAGTTTATGCTGTGATGGGCCAAAGAAAATGTTTGGAATGCAGTTTTTGTGGTGTTGATTACCATTCCATTGTTGTCGCACCNGACAGCTGATTGTCGTCTCCAGGCTTGTACGTCTTCCATTCTTCCAGTCTGATCAGCAGTGTTGCGAATGGGCATCCCTCTTTCTTTTCAGTTCCTCAAGGTGTTTAGACCAAAACACTCGATAGTGTTTTGTTTTGCCTCGGGGAATAGTTTTCTTTGCACATCTAATCATAATAGTCGTGATATCGTTGCAAAGTTTGTCAGGATGTTGGTTGAAGTTGAAGGGACTTGTGTGAAGTTCATTCTCCAAAAGGTTTGTGAATCTAGGCCAGTCAGCCTTCTTGAAGTTCCATGATAGCTTAGTTGGCACTTTCCTTGACATGCTTTTGCTGCCGAAGGTAATACTAGCAATGACTGGTTTGTGACCATAACCAGGACCGACAATTATTTTGTGACGTGTATGCTCACTGATGTCGCTTGAAACCAGGAGTAAGTCCGGAGTTGTTCTGGTTCCATTGTAGTGCAGATATGTAGCCGGATCCTCATTGCTGTAAATAAGTTCCAGAGGGTTGCTGTTTAGCATGTCTTCCATTTCCTTTCCAGCTATGTTTGTATCCTTGTAACCCCATCTGGTGGAATGGGCGTTAAAGTCTCCTAATACTAGAGTTTTGTGTGAGATGTTCAGAAAGTCAAATTTGGGACAATTCTGGGGTGGATTATAGACTGCATATATCTTGAAGTGGTTTTGACATTTCCAAACATTTAATCTGATTATTTCACATTTGTCTTGTGTCGAGCCCGTACTCTTGATTAGATCGTAGTGTGAGGTGAGGCCTTCTTTAACTCCAGTTAGAATTCCACTTGCAACTTGTCGGTATTTAGGTAGATTGTACAGGGTGTAACCTGGGAATTGGTAGTACTTCAGTTTGTCATCCGAAATGTTAGCTTCCATAATTGTGAAAATGTCTACATCATAGGTTTGTAGGATTTTCTGTACTTGGATCTTTTTGTCCAGAGACATTCCTCCAGCATTCCACTAGAGGATCTGAAGACGGTGTGATTCGCCCTGACGAGGGCGATTTTTCTTATAGCCTTTTTTAAAGCTAATCATAATAAATCGAAGTCAAAAATGAATGCCGAGTGATAGACTTTTTTGCCGTAAGAAAATACGTTGTCCAGGGTGCACCACGTGGAGGTAAGTCTATCGCGCACCCCAGAATTGAGAAAGTAAAGCTGTCTCGTTGATCGGTTGGTTTTTTGGTTGGCTAACTAATTCTGCCCAGAGCTCTCGTTCGCCACCAGTCTCCTGCTCACCACCGCGAGTGTCTTCCCTGCTCCCGTTGGTAGGAGTGAATTGAGAAGGCGGCGTGAATGCTGGAGGCTGACGTTACCACCCAGGACCACGTGGAGGTGAGTGTTGGAGTTTCCTGAGTAGTGAGGCGCAGGCACAGCCCAGGTGAAGAAGTTGGGCACGCACTTAAAACACGGTCGTGCTTACTCGTATCTCCACCCCCCCCCCACACCCACACAGCAAGCGCCCTTTAGTTGCTGTGGTCTTATAGCCTCTACACTTCTATTGCCATCATTCCCCACCCATGGCACCCACCCCACGTGTGTAGCTTAGCTTCGCCTAGAAGAGTGCGCTTAGTAGTCTCTATTCTCCTCTCTTTCAAGTCCATCCTAGTCGGTGTCTTTCGTGCTACCAGGGTATTGGGCACCAAAAGGCGACCTACGAGTGGTAGATTCGTAAAGGAATGAGAATAATTGTGGCAGCAGGAAGAATGTATGTTATTTGAGAGTGAAGTTACTTAAGGAAAGGGGCTAGAGGAGCATAAGCATATGGCAGGAATATATCTGTTATAATAATTAGAAAAATTGAAATGGAGATGAGGTAAGCGGAGCGGGACTAGTTAATCACACTATTCTAAAGCATAAACTATGAGGAAGATATAGGTGAAAATAAAATAGATTACTACAGGAGGGTGGAATGTCTGATAAATCGGCAGTAAAAAAGATGGCAAGATTAGGATATATTAGTAAGACCGATGATAATGTGTGAGTTTCCTGAGGAGGAAATATGCCAGAGCATGAATGGTTGTTGTTGGAATGCCTTTGATGAAAGTTGCTCTCAAGTGGGAGGATTTGAAATCGATTTCACCAGTACCCACTGGTACGTGTTGGTGAAATGGAAGGAAAATTTGGAATTAGCATTGAAGGACTATAAATGAATAAGGAATAAATATGAAACAAATTATTTTTTGTCTTTTCATTTTTATAGTTTTTTTGCTCTTTTCGAAGTTTTATAATTTTTGTTTTTTTCATATTTTATCAATTTTTTTCATTTTCTGGAATGAAGAGAAGGAGGCGACGGAGAGGAGGGCAGCCGAGAAGAGACCGAAAGATGAGATGAGTTGTTGAAGGTCACTCGGGTTTGCACTGGCCTTTCCTTCGCAGAAGTTCCTGCTTAGAAAGTGTGTCACTCTCCCCATTCCCTTTAATCTCTTTCTCCAACTTACCTACCACGTCATTATAACGAAGAAAAAGCCTAAGAGACTTTTCAAACTCCTCATGTGCTTGTTCAAGCCTCCACTGTGAGATTCTGCCCTCCTCCATGATGTCCTCGATAAAGGTTGAAGAGATTGCAAAAGTCTCCCCATAGAACTCTTCCAGC